TGATGGGGAAACCCAGACACCCCTACCCCTGCCTACAGACACTGCACACTAACATGCATTTTTGTGACATGCCGGACCTGGAGCTGAATGGAAACTGCTCCAGCAGTTATTACTCTCCTGCCCGGCCTTCTCCTCGAGGCTTGATTTCCCCCGAGACTAGCTGTTGGCAGCAGTGCCCAGGTTCCTTCCTGGCCACGGGGTTGCATCTGGCTGCGCTGCTGGGGGAGTGCCTCCTAAGGTCTCGTCTTTGTTTTCAGGCCATCATCTTGCCACAGGTGGTGATGGGGGTTGCAGCCAATATCCTCAATGTGGGCATGAACGCTCTGCTGCTGTACGCAATGAAGCTGGGAGTGGTGTAAGTCTGAGCAGGCAGAGCCATGGGTAGCCACTCCATGAGGTTTAGCAGAGATCTGGGGGCTCGTCAGACCCAGGGCCATGGCTGCTCTTCTCTTGCAGATGCTCCCTGCCTGCACAGCTGTAGGTCTGCCCTTGGGTGCTGCCAGCCTTTGGAGGTGGGGAGGGTTGAACCCTCTGAGTGGAGAATGGAGTATCCATTTGGGGGGTCTCTGGCAGCCTGGCCGGTGCGAAGGCTTTCGTGCTTCTAGCAGCCAGGGGTGGAGGAGACACCAGTGCAAGAGGAGGAGGGGAAGTGCCACATGTGACCAACCTGTTTCTCCCTGCAGGGGCTCTGCCTGGGCCAACACAGTTTCTCAGTACACGCAGATGATTCTCCTCTTTTTGTACGTGTGGTGGAGGAAAATCCACGCCCGGACCTGGGGAGGTAGAGTATGTCTCCGTCCAGTTCCGACATTACTCGGCTGATCCTGCGGTGGGTAGATGCTCGGGCACTGGCTTCTGTAGGATCTAGCCAGGTAGCGTGGATACAGTGGACATCCTCGGGTAGCAGCTCCTGTCTCCCTGAATGAGACAAATCCTAAGTGCTTCGGATATGGGTGGTGCCTTGGCTCAAGCCTGACCTGGGATGCAAGCTCATTCTTGGCCATCTTATGCCAGTGCATGCACTGATGACTGATAGGGCTGGGCTTTGGCCCCTGGGATGCTGCCTTGTGCCATGGTTTCTGCAGGCTGCACCCTGCTACAGCATCCTGTGGGGGTTGAGAGGCATCTGCTTCCTCCTGACTGATTGCTGCCTTGCTACAGGCTGGACCAGGGAGTGTCTGCTGGAGTGGGGCTCCTTCACGCGGTTGGCCGTACCCAGCATGCTCATGATGTGCATTGAGTGGTGGACCTTCGAGATCGGGAGCTTCCTGGCAGGTGAGCTGGCAGAGTCCTGTGCAGACGCCCTCTCCCTTCCTTCTGTGCTCCCACAGAGGTCTCTTAGTGCTGGCGACCCTCACGCCTCGCTGAGCAGACCTGAATGGTGTCTCTGGCTTACAGTGCTCCCCTGGAGTCTGTGGGTGGGTCCTACAGGGCTCCCTGCTCCTGTCAAACCAAAGCCTCCTTCTCCCCCCTGCCAGGAACGAAGCTAATTGTAGTGATGGTTAAAAGTTGGCTGTGGCAATTCCCTCCTAGGTCTGATCAGCGTGGTGGAACTAGGGGCTCAGTCTGTCATCTATGAATTGTCCAGTGCCGCATATATGGTAAGAGCTCAGGCCTGCTTGCAGGGAGTGCTGGTGGCTGGAGTAGGAGCACAGAGAGCAGAAGAGGTTCCCAGGCAGCCTAAGGATGTGGGCTGGGGTGTTCATGGTGCCAGACCACACTCCATTTTCCTGCTAGGGGATAGCCAGACTGCAGTAGGGCACTGCCTGCCCCTACCCCTGCCTCTGTGCTTGGAGCAGGGATGAGCAGACCACTACTTGTGCCCTGTCCAACCTTCCCCTCTTCCTGCCTAGGTGCCCCTGGGCTTCAGCGTGGCTGCCAGTGTCCGTGTGGGCAATGCCTTAGGATCGGGGGATGCAGAGCAAGCAAGGACATCCTGTATCTCTGCGCTGCTGTGTACAGGTGGGAACAGTCCTCTAGCTCGTGCCTGCTGGCCTGATCTACCCTGCAAGAACTTCCCTTCCCTAAATTCTTGGGTGGCTTAAAGGCAAAAAATGCCTGACGGGCCCCATGAACAGTGGGGCTGTGTGTGGGGCATTGTTGCCCCGGCAGGGATGGTCCCTCCAGCAGAGATCGTGATCCCAAGCAGCACAGGAGAGGAGCAGACCGTGGCCCCCGTGTTAATCAAACTGCCTGGCTCTTTCAGGAGTGTTAGGTGTAGTGGTGGCCGCCCTGTTGGGGACCCTGAAAGACGTTGTGGGCTACATCTTCACCAATGACAAGTGAGTCATCCATGTCCGTTCACGACAATTCGTTACCTCTTTCAAAGAGCTGTTCCACACGCATGGGAATTCATGCCCTTCAGTTGCAGTCTAGAAGGGACATTGTGGTGCCAGTAACTAAGGAGCTGGCCCAAAGCCCATCGATTTTTCCCATGGACTTCACTGGGCCTGTGTGTGGCAACAAGCATCAGAACTAAAGTTTGTTCCTCCCTCATAGTCAGGCTGCCCGGCTTCACCCGCAACCCTAACTGACAGCCACGTGCCTTTGTCCCAACAGAGAGATTGTTACCTTGGTGTCTAAGGTGATGCTGCTCTTTGCTCCCTTTCACTTGCTTGATGCAATGGCGGTGAGTATTTCCGTGCACCCGGCAACCTTCTCTGCGAGCTTGACCGCAGTCATTTTGCTTATTCAACTGTCTTGGTTCCTCTGACTCTTGCAATCTGCCAAAACACAAGTTTAATACGCTATGCAGTCACGTTGCGTCTGAAAGTAGCGGCCTGTGATATTCTGGAGCAATCTCAAACTCCATAGTGGTTGCAGCTAGCACCAAGGCACCCCAGATTTCACCATTATGGGTTAATAATCTGTGGTCAAAATCACAGTCCAAAATTGAGTGGCTGATGTTGGGAATCAAGGGGCCCAAACACCCCGCCTGGTGTTCAGAGGAGCTGGCTGTCCTCCAACACCCACAGCACCTGGGTACGACCTTCTGCCTGCACTCGGTTTAGACCTAGTGGTGTCCTGCCCCATGGGTGGGTAGGGGGGACAGACACCATCACAGCAGTGTAGCTGAATCTCACACACACATGCACATGCTCATGTACGGCAACTAAGGACAGTCACACAAGTTGTTATGAACGGAGGAGAGGAGGGTTTTATGGCATGCTGGCAGCTCTGCGGTAACTGCCCAGGTGCTCACACTTACAAATGAAAGCCAGGCTGCATCCCACTCCCCATGAATGAGCCATAAGCAACCAGCTTTAGCACTCAGAGGGGATAAAAGCAAGAACACAGGCAGCTGAAAGGGATGTGGGTGTGCAAATCAGCTGCTCCACCTCTTGGTAACTGGGTGGCTTTAGCTTCTGGGCATCAATCATCTACTCTTCATACTGGAGTAGCAAGGACCCTTCTATCATATCACTCTTGGGAGGGAGACTGAACAGGACTTGAATCGAAGCTGGCTTCACGGGCTAATGCAGCAGCCTCAGCCCATCTTAAATTATCTCAAAGTTGCACCTTTCCCCTCAAGGGCTGCATTGTTGCCTGCCAGGCTGCGGCAGGAGCTGCTGTGCTGCACACCGACTGCTCTCTGTCCTCGTAGGCGACCTGCGGCGGTGTGCTGAGGGGGACAGGGAAGCAGAAGTTTGGGGCCATCGCCAACGCCATCGGATATTACGCCATCGGGTTTCCGCTGGGAATCTCGCTGATGTTCGCTGCAAAGCTTGGGGTGCTGGGTACGTGTGCTGTGAGCACGCACGGTGCTGAACATCCTGACGCACATGGGCCGCTGCTCATGGCAGGTGAAATCCTGACCCTGGTGAAGTCAGGGCAGCCGTTTCTATTGGCTGCAGTGCAAGGAGAACTGGAGCCCTGTTTCAGCATACCATGCACTTTGGCTTTGCTGGCTCCCAGAAGGCTCAAGCCCAGGCTAGAGCATTTAGCTGAACGTGGGCTCAAATAAGCATCTGCTTTCAATAAGCGCATGGAGTAGATAGCAGTGTAACTCCAGCATATGGATGGGGGCTTCAGTCCAGTGCCTCGGGGAACAGACAGCAAAGCAGATTTTGCTGTTGCCTTTATATATACAGCATGAACCACCTTAGAAAACCAGTTATGTCCATGTGGTTGCAGTGATCTGAATTCACTGCAGTTACTCTAGGTTGCACCCGGTAACCGAGCAGGACGCGGCATAGTGTCTGTCCTGTGACAAATGCAGTACAACTTGGGCCCGGGTATAGCTGCAAGTGGGGTCAGCCAAAGGGCTTTCAAGGTTGCCGATGGGAATCCACATCTGCTGGACAACGAGGTCCACGGCGGGGCTTGATCAGGACTTGTGCATCTCTAGTTTGGGAATGAAGTCCCAAGAAATGAAGTAGCTGCAGAGTGACATCCGGACCTCAGGGAAGGCCAGGTGCAGGGACCTCCATCAGGGGCCTCCAGATAACTGACCCTGATTTCCCTTTGTTCCAGGCCTATGGGTGGGACTCATCGTCTGCATTGCTCTGCAGGCCATTTCCTTCTTCATCTATGTCCTGCGCATAGACTGGAAGAAGGCTGCAGAGGAGGTAAGACTCTCACAGCCTGCTAGCCTCGTCCAGAGGCTGTGGGCCAGCTCCTGAGCCCATGCCACACTGCAGAGCTCTGAGGGCGCGCAGCGTTGTGCAAGCGCAATCTGTCTCTTCCTCTTCCCTGCTTAAAGTGTGTTTTGCTGGGCATGAGCGTATGCAGCTCGTGCCTTAAACCGAAGGAGTCAGCAGAAGGGCCCAGGTGTAGAGGCACTCACAGGTTGTGATCCAGCTGAGGAGTGAAAAGCAGAGCTGGCAAAGCCAGGTCGTGGCCCACACAGCTGCAGGATTGATCCTTGCCAAGGGTGCTGCAGCCAAGTGCCTGTGCCCTGGGAAAGGAAGGATCTTGTGCGCTCAGAGAGCAGAAGGCCGGATCTCTTTCCCCCCCCCCCCTCGGTGGAGCTGGGAGCGCGTTGTGTTCCCAGCCTAGCCGGACCCTCACTGGCTGCAGTCCGCTGCTCCGTTTGGGATGGGTTTTGAGGGCATGCCCTGGCGACAGGGAGAATCTGACCCTGTTCTCTGTTGCAGGCTCAAATCCGGGCAGGCCTCAAAGTGCAAGCAGAGATCCTGGGCACCAGCAGCTCTGCGGTTCATTTGACTGGTTTTGGTATGTGACTGGGGGCTGGAGTCCTACACGCAGTGCCCCTTGCTCTGGAAACGCTCCCGGGCAGGGTGTGGGGAGAGGAGTGCTGCGTGGGAGCTGCTCTGGCTGGCCCATGGCCTTTACTGGCTGTGGGGCCCTAAGCGGACCTCAGGTAGCACTGAACACCCTGAGCTGGCCAGCAGAGCTGACCTGGGACCGCTGTCCTTCGCCCCTGCAGCTGGCCGTATGGCTCAGCCTCCAGGGCAGGGCCCCACGTGTAACACTGACCCGTCTGCTCCCCAGACTATTTCACAGCCGAGACAGAAGTGCCGGACACTGTAGTTCTGCCCGCTGCCATCTCCAGCAGCGAGAGCCTGCCCGAGCCCCAGCTCGCCCCTGGAGAGGAAGTAGCCGTGCTGCCTGCCCTGCCAGGAGGCAGCGTCTCGCTGGGGAAGGGCCTGCTCCTCCAGCGCGGGCTAGCACTGGCTGTTGCCATCACGGTCCTGCTGGCGGGGGTCCTCGTGCGGCTCCTGACAGGCAACGGCTAAGCATAGCCACCGTGGCCAGAGACGTGACCACGGGGACGGTGGAGTGCCGTCTGGAGTGCTGCAGGCAGGAGCGGCCGAGATGCTCCTCTATCCTGGCCCATGTCTTGGGGTCCGTGGTCTGGTCACACTGTCCGTGCTAATGGGCTGGGCCTGTGCTGCCACTGAGCAATGCTGACCCAGGGGGCTTTCGCCCCCTCTGTGGGAGCCTGCTGGGCCGTCGTCCCCAGCCATTTCCTGGTCCTGAAGCACTTGTTCGTGTCCTGTTCTGTTGTTTGGTTTGCAGCTCGGGCTTTGTTGGCCCAGGCACTCCATGGGGGCAACGGCCTTTTGTCTTTCAGAGTTGGCTCTGGGGTCCCCCTGTAGCTAGCCCTAGGCTAAGACGGTTGGGTAGTTG